CCCCAAAACCCCAAAACCCCAAAACCCCGTTGAAGAAGATATGATATGAATCAGACAGATGAATCTTATATAATTAAAAATATTAATAAATGGGTAACATAGGTTGCTGTAGTGCAGCCAACCAAACTACTAATGACACCCAGCACCAAAATGACTAGCTTAAAACTACTAAGAAGCCCAAAGACTACTCAGCCCAACCTGATTTCGTCAAGGATGATTTAATAGATAGCTATAGAGGAGCTAACGAGAATAAGCATTCAAGATAGCTTTCTAAAAGGCAAAATGACAATGATGGAGAAGAGTCGGATGAATCTGATCTTTCAAATAAATACGGAAATTTACATGCCCCTGAGAAGGTCGCCCCTAACAAGTAATTCGTTAGACAATTGTCAAAGAATCTTGGGAATCTCAGAATTTCAAATTCATAGCTAGATAAATAGGCATCAAAAAGCAAAATTTTGCATCAGAAATAGCAACAAATAGACTAGTACTAAGCAAAACTGTAACAAGAGAGAGGACAAGAAACTGAATAAACTGATACTCTAAAATAAAAATAGAGAAAATAAAGGACTAATGAGAATATGAGTGTTGAGTTCAAAAAGGAACTTGATAATAAACAGCCTATTAAAGAATCACATATGTAGTCACAAAGCAGCAAATCTAAAGATTCAATTCAATCTTCTCCTAAAAAAGTTTAAGAATAATAAGATCAATAAGAGGAGGAGAGTTCTTAGAGAGACGAGGTAAGTTTGAAATCGAAATAGAAGGCTAATAACTATGAACCTAGAAGGCAGTAAACTCAAAATATGGAAGGAACCCGGTTGAATAACGATGAAGATAGTTAAAGCTATAGTCCTTAAGATTCATTGGATAATAGTAAAGCTAAAAATTCAGAGAGATTTGATGATCTGGAATAATAGTAGGTATTTCTCAGGTCACAGACTTAACAGGAAAAATAAACCACTTCTTCACATAAACAGTCAAGCAAGCCTTTCTAGAGACAGAAGCTTAGAAAGCAAATAGCTAGTGAGATATCCTCCTCTATCCAGGAGTCTTAGAGGTAGATGGAGCAGTAGGATGAAGTCGCAGATCTAGAGAACAGTTTTGACTAAGATTATTATGAGGAAGAGTCCTCCAGCATCTACGAAAGATCAAATACAGATTTCTAATAACTAAAGAAGAGCAGAAATTTAATGGGAAACGACTCAATATAATTTGATGATGAGATCAGTGAGATTGGAGGCGAAAGTTCAATGACTCAAAGCAAAAAGAAGAAGAAGAAAAAGAAGAAGAAGAAGAACCTTCTTCATGCGTCGGAGACTTAAATTTTTGATAATAGCAGAGACTCTAGCAAACTCTCCTCGACTAATAGACCAAAGACAAGAAAGGTTAAGGTTCTTTAGTTATGATCACTCAGTCATAGTCATTATTAAGAACTAGAACTTTCAAAAGACAACTTTTGAGTTTTGTCAGCATTTCAAAAGCATATTATTTATTTATTAATAAGTTCAACCTCATCTCTCTTGTGAACGCAACATGGGGTTTTTGGGGTTTTGGGGTTTTGGGGTTTTGGGG